TTTGAAGCATCGGCAATAATAACCATTTTTGAGGGGTATCGAAGTGGTGGGATAACGCCAGTTGTGCCGACAGAGAAAGAATGACTAGAAACCAGATTTAGTAGAAACACTGCTGCCCAAGCGAGTGTCCGTGGGGAGGGGGGGGGGGGGAATATATTCCACACGGCAATTCTAGTTATTATTCACTCTCCCATGGATCCCCACCGCGGCTGTAGTCTTCATCTGACTCCACTTCAAATGTTGTGCCCAAAGCTTCCTTGCCCTGGCGGATCATGTTTTGCAGTCGGGTGTTGAAATCATTCATACGGATATCAGTCTCCATCTCTTCTTTTATTCGCCTCGCTGCCAAGTTCTTAGCCTTAGCGTCAAGCCTCGGACTGTTATCTTGCATCTCGAGCAGAGACTCTCGTTTTTTCATCTTTACTGGCGAGATCGAGGCAGCGGATACAGCGCTTTGGCTTCTCCTATGGCCGCGTTTTGCGTAAGGACTAGGGCTCGGTATCCGAGATGGCTGCTGGACAAAATGACTGGCTGCAAAAGCACTGGGGGACTGTGCCCGGGAAGCGATGGGGATTCTGCTAGGAGTATGCGCTTTCATAACTGGTGAGGGAGCTGGGGACCTGGTCGATGCAAAGCTTGCAGACTCGCGATTCGAGATCGGGCCTGCACTGGCGGAGCTCGGTCTTGTAGGAGGGTGACGGTTGAAATTGGGCGCGTTGAGACGGCTTACGGGCTTGCTGATGCGACGAACCAACGACGGAGTTGTCGTTCGTTGCACAGAGCGTGACGAAGCGCGTGATGCAAGAGATGGCTGGCGGTTCACGTTAGCTGGCTCATCAATCATGACCCAGTTTTTCTGTAGCTCATCTGTAGGTGTCCCATATGAGATCTGTCTTCGCTTTGGTGGCGGTGTCGATTCTGGCGTCCCGCGCTCATAGTAGAGCGCGGAATCGGCTTGGGCAGGGGCGCTACTCAGAGGGCGGAATTCCTGCGTACGGATGTCCTCGCTGGTATTGTAGGTGTCAGACCCAGACGGCCGGTTTGTCGGTCGTTGTCCCATGTCTTTCGACATTTCGTAACCCCTACCACCTCCAGCGTAGAAACCGCGAAATGCACCAGTCCTGCAAAATTCCCATACTCTGCCAACAACACCGCCAATCGTGCTAATGGCATAAGACTTCCAACCACTCGCGACTGGGTTGTCCGAGTCGAGGTCCATCGGTCTCAGGGAGGGAGACTCAATACCGCCTTCGTGCGATCGTCTAGAGCCGAGGGCACGCCTGTAGTCGACATCAGAATAGACACTATCCTCAATAGACCCAAACTCTTTCCGGTGATCACCATTTGGTGTTTCCATCTGACCAGCTAAGACATATCGCCGCTCTTTCGCGTTCACGTCAAGGTCAAAATAAGAGGGGTCGCCCATAATGATTTCATCGAAATTGCCATCGCCTGTCCTTCTCCAGTCATTGGCGGGTGTCGACTCCCTCGCACCTATCCGCTTTCTCTTGGCGTTAGATATGGGCGCCGGCGTCTCGGACTGCAGGCTTCCAGTAGATCTCCCCAAATACACAGAACTAGATACCGAAGGGGACGTCGGGGGTCGAAAGATACCTGGATGCACGCCCGAGAAAGATGTACCCCTGCCAGCGCCACCATTTGGCAGGTCAAAGTGATACGTTCCTGACATAAGAATCTGAGAATTGAATGACATTTCTAGTGCGGTGATTAGAGGAAGAGATGGAAATGCCTATGAATGACGAGACGGGAAGATTGCAGAGATTATTGAAACAAAATGCGACAGCGAGAAGTCACGCTGCCAGAACGTCTAAGCAGTGTTGTTGTCGTGTAGATCTGATCTGGTATCGTGACAAGCCGAACTCTAGAATACGTGTGCACGCAGTCAATTTTCCGGAAATGCTGTGCAGGTGCTCGCTCGTTGGAATAGAGGGGGAATATGTTTGGATGCTGTCGCTATTGTCGTCGCCGGAGTCCTCGCTCACGGTGACCGTTGGGGATGTTCGGTCCCAGCGCTGTCGATGCGCGATATGATAATCAAAGTCTTGTTTTGAACTTAAATGGGAAAATCGCTAGCTGATGCAGATGCGACCGCGGCTGACAGGCAGGACAGGAACACACAAAGTCGGCGTGCAGCTTCGGGCCAGCTCTACCCGGTCTTCAGCGCGCATGTGTCGAACCACAAGACAAGGGACGACAAGAGGCGACAGGGTAGGATTTCTGCTGCCTGCGTGAAACAGAAGCACGAAAGGACATGCGCGAAGGACGAGTAGGTATCTGGTCAAGATGATGATAGCTGAATGGTGTTGCAGATAGCTTATCGTTGTTTGTTGCGCAGGTTTCAGCCCCTCGTGGACATAAGACACATGACCCAGACAGAATCACAGAATCAGCGCTTGGACACGGCTAATGCCTGGTGTAGCTGGTGTGACGTATGGGAGGATTGTCGGAAAGCTTATTCGATACTAAGAAGGGCGTATATGTATATGTCGTGCGCGGCTTCTGGATTTCGTCTCAGTCGCGGTGAACTTTTGCGACCGTACAGCTATCTACACGAGAACATACCCGTCCGTAGTTCAGAAGGTCAAATGAACAGCTACCGGTACTACTTTTGCGCTCGATTAACACAAAAAGGAGCTTGCGTTGTTGTGGTCGCGTTGCTGGGTCAGCCCTGTATTAATCAAACGTTAGTCAACAGCCTAGAACAGAACTGGAGTCGCTGATATTACCTAGGTACCTACTGATAAGACCCCCTGGACCCCTGGTGATACCTATGGCACTGCGGGGGGCCGCGGGGCATAACCTACTAAGTAACCTTTAAGGGCCTCTTCTACTACAGTGCTAGTGCTCACTTGAGCACAGTCTACGGTGAAAGAATAAAGATGTAGGTAGTCCACTCATGAAGAGTAAAATAAGACAGATTTAAGGCTCGAGGTGTATCCCTCTATTACTATTTTTTCTAGTACGTGCGTATAGGTCTAGGTATATCTAGGTGGTTTGCCCGTACCCCTCATGCCGGGTTCTATCCTCTGTCCTCTCCTGTACCATGATGAACAAAAAAAGTCAAATATGCCATATGCCTTGCTTGTTTGCAGCGTAATCAGATAAGATACAAGCACAATATCCGTAGTGGTCGTCTTATTATCTCTTCTCTACTCCTTGTTGTAGTAGGCTTCCTGCTGCTGAAGCTTTTCGGATTCCACGCCGCCGTCAACGCCGGATTCGCCGTGAACGTGTGCTTTGGCCCCCCAGAACTCGTCACGCTCCTTGAGAATCTCCTCGGCCCACTTCTTCGTCTCCGGGAGCACTATTCTCGTGGCGACGTAGGCGAACTCGCCGAGATCGAGAACCTGGTTGGCACGCTTCTCGTATTCCACCATCTGTGTCAGAAGCTCCATCTTGTCAAGGTCGTGAACGAAGTGGCTGTCGAGCGTCTTCGAGTCCTCGTATTCTTGCCAAATTGCCCGAATCTCCGCGCCCGCCAATCCGCCATAGACACCCCCTAGCAGTTTCTTGGTGATATAGTCCATTGTCTCAGCCTCGCGACGGCTCTTCTCCGGCTTAGCTACGCCGTCAACTGGGGTGATGTCGCCGACGATCGCCTCGGCCATGTCGTGGATGAGACACATCTTCATACATTTGAAGAGGTCGAGTTTAGGTGCGAGGGTCGGCGGACAGAGCATGGTCATCAGGGACATACGGTACATGTGGTCGGATATCGATTCGCCTCTACAAGTGGTAGTGCCAGTCAGTAAGTATGGATGACCGAGCATTGTTGGATTGGTACCTTTCTATGCCGAAACGACGCCATCCTTCGCGCTTGCCCGTCTTCAGTCTCTCGAGTATGTGGAAATAAGGCACAGGCGAGTCGCTCTGCTCAGCGGGTGGTGACGAAGTCAGGGTATCTAGTACTTTCTGCACTGACCACGGCTCAGAGACCTTAGGGGCTTCCACGATGCCAGGGTCTGTGGTTCTTAGAGTTAATATTTTATATAGATGGCTAAAAAGAGGATGCGACTGACCGACGAAGCCCTTGCTATTGACGTTGCTGGCTCCTGAGGCCATCGTGTCTTTATGGCGTATCGTAGCCTCGTATGAACTTTTGTGTAGGCCGTGTAGCTGTTTGGGCTATCCGTCCAGAGGGATCTGAATTGCGAAGGACGAAGAGAGTGGCAGAGTTCGGAACGGGTACGCAGGTCGTGAGGAAACGAGAAGAGAGGGAAAAAGGCGGGAAGCAAGAACTACCTAGGTCATCAGATATATAGAGACTGAGACGCAAGGCTCTACCGAGGCACAGGGGCTAGTGTCACTGCCAGACCTGACGGAAATAATAAACAGATCTTTGTTTTGTTGACGAGATTCAGTACTACACAAGAAGCTGCTCGAAATTCATGGTTCAGATAAGTGAAAGCCATGTGAAGTACCTACCTGCCCCACTAAGAAACGGCCATATGGGCACCATGGTAGAGGGACCCCAGATAGCGCGTACCTCGTGCTAGAAAGTATCTGGAGCAGTGTGCTGGAGTGCTGCATTGACATTATCCATCATGCTATTGGATGGGTCTAGATACCCTAATTGGGCTGGCCGGTACGCTACCAATGACGGCTTTCATCAGCATCGTGGTTCCATGGAACTCTTGGCATTCCTTGTATGGTGACCTCAGCAAAACGCGCATGTAGCGTCAACATTCCAGCCTGTCGGTGTAGGACATTGTCGTGCAGAATTAACAATTCTTTGAAAAAGCCATGTCCATTGTAAAGAGTCAGCAGACCGAAGATTTTGAAATATAGTAGTATCACTTTTTGTTGGATTCTCAAAGGCTACGGTATAGTCAAGTGTTGTCCAAATGCGACTTACAGGGTGAACAGGGACTACCAGGTCATTGTTAACAAGTTTGACTGTCCTTGACTGCCTAAGATGCAGCAACTATATATATGTATAGAAACCGTCCCTCCAAGTATCTCCCAATCACCCGCATTAGTCCGAATTGGTGTAGTGGCTAACATTTGACGCTCTCATAATCGTCTAACGATAGAAGGAACCGTCAAGCCCGGGGTTCGATTCCCCGATTCGGAGTAATTTTTTAGGCTTTGTTTTTTTTCATTTCCTACCCTACTTTTTCTTCCCCCCCTTAGATCCTTTTCCATACAGGTTTTCTCTTTTCGAATTGCCAAATCGTTTATCTTAGAACACCTACTGATCATGCTGTCTTGTTTATTGCAATAGTTCTGCCTACTTGTTGCCTCAATATCAGGGTATCTTAACTGCCTATTTCAGTAGTTCTAGTATGAGTATCTTGTTCTTCTCAATAGATTCCATGAGTTCGCTAACAAGGACGTACTCGTCCGTGCCGTGTGCCACTCGGATAGAGCCAGGACCGTAGAGCACCTTTTTATGATCGCCGCGCAGTCTTGGTATATCCGTGCCGTACGCCATGGGCTCGGCCTCGAAGCCTTCAAAGTCCCACTGCAGCACCATCTCACTGTACTGGAACTTGAAGTCAACATCAACGTCGGGATGTTTGTCTATCGCTGCCCGCACCGCCTGCTTAATCCCCTCGATATCTTTTGAGACACGAATGCTACAGAGCGCCTTAGCTTCGGCAGCTAGGATGTTGTAGCCCGCACCCCCTTCGATCTTCCCGATGTTTAGTGTTGACGGACCGAGAAGGTCAGAGACAGGCCACTCGACTGCTCTGAGGTCATTCAGCGCGTCGAAGAGAAGTAGTGTTGCACTCTTGCCCAGGTGGGGATACCCGGAATGACTATTGAAATCTCCCAATCAGCTCTGTGCCTGTTCCCAAGAGCAGTTCATAAAAACCAAAAGGTCCACGACGTGCTTACCAGGCTTTCCCCTTAGCCACGATCTCGAAAACGAGATTGCCCTTGTGGCCCTTGGCTATCTTCCCCTCTGTAGGCTCGGCAAAAAGACCAGCTTCCCAAGTAAGCCCCATATCGTTTGCCGCAATCATTCCCGGGCCGCCCTTTTCTTCACCCACAACCCACAGGAAGCTCACGTCGCCTTCCTTCAACTTTCCCTCGGCGCGCAGCTCTTCAACTGCAAATATCTGCGCCACCATTGGTCCGAGGTCGTCGCAGGCGCCACGTCCACGGATCACGTCGCCGTCAATACTGAACGGGATGTGTGGCGGTACCGTATCCATGTGTGCCGTCACGAGGAGTCGGGCTTTTCGCTCCTGGCCCAAGTATGCGTAGACATTGTGTCGTGTAGAGCCCTGCTCAATGGCAATCCTCTCGGCTGTGAAACCGCGACTCTTGATGTACTTCTCTAGATATTGTCCGATTTCGAGCTCCTTTTCACTAGTGCTCTCGATGTTCATAAGCGTTTTTAGGAGCTCAACCACCTCCTTTGACTCGGTTTTGGTCGCCATGACGCTCCGCTTAGCTATCCAGCTGCTTTATTTTGCACGCGACGCACGTTGATGTAGGTACAGTTCGATACAGGATCTACTTGTAGTTATCGCAGGTCAAGTGCTGGCATGTGTGTAGTTGGTACCAGCTGGGGCGGGGTTAGGCCTGATCTGCGAGACCGCTCAGCTCTAGTCGTCTCTACTTAGCGGCAGTGAAAAGCCCAGCACGCGAGACACAGCGCGATGCTATTAATTTATCCGTACACTCTTGAGACTCATGTTCAAAGAACGAATGTCTTCTTATCGCCTCATAACGTCTAAAGGCTTGAAAGACATGTTCCTCGAGCTTGGAAATAACCACAGTGGCCTAAATCAAAACTACCCAAATGTGTCTCCCACAAGAATATCTTATAAATAAATGATGGGTAAACAGTATAAGTTGACTCGTCACTGTTATTCAGATGGCGTAGATTGAATTTATTAGCTTGTATGGTTGAAATTCGCCGGTCCCCACTGCGCAACATCGCGGAGGTCATAGTCTTCAAACATCATACTGGGGAAACATATGTAATAGCCCAGTTGCAAGGACGTATGTAATACGTAGTTTATATATCAAGATCCTTTTCCTATTGTTCTTAGAGGACGGACAATCCCGTTGATGCTTTTGGTTGATGTTTTGACAGTAGCTATAGTTACAGGGGTCAGTACTTTAGGTTTTAGGTATGTGCTAAAAGAATTGTTGACGTATTGGTGACGCCGCTACAACGACACGATGCTCGACGATTCATCATGGAACCAAATCACCATGAGCGACAGTTAACGCAAGTATCGTGAATTCAAAAGAGGAGTAAAAAAGAGGGGTGATGTTAACTACTTAAGGGGCCCTAATGTACTCTGATGAGAATAGAACTTCATAATTTTCGTATTCCAACATATTCAGTTTTTCGAAGTACATGAGCACTTTACCTGTAATTTGACACCGAAAAATGGACAAGATACTTCAAACCGGACTTTCAGCCGGCATGTCTGCAACGTCGGGCTTTCACTCTAGCAAGCCGAGTCGCCCCGATCCGAAGTACGATGGGAAGCATTTGCTACCCCAATCATTCTGCCCTGATGCTCGTGCGCGCTATTCTGTGCCGACGAAGAGTGGCAAGCCCATTCAGATGTCTTACATCTGTATTGGTGCCTGGTCATGGGGTGACTCGGCGACATGGCACTGGAAACCAGAAGAGCTTCCCGCAGTCAAGGAGGCTTGGAAGCACTTATACGAGCAAGGTATTAACTTCATTGACACTGCAGAGGCATATGGCCACGGGAAGAGTGAGGAGATCGTGGGCGAACTTGTCCAAGGCCTTCCGCGAGACTCATTCGTCGTTCAGACTAAATGGTTCGGCCTCCCAGTTGCGCCGACGAATATACTCCATTCTTCAGATTCTCCTTTGAAGAGCTTGCAAGCTATAGTGAAGCGCATGAAGTTGGAATACGTGGATATCCTTCTCGTGCACGGTCCCATCCACAGACAGAACATATCGACTGTCGCTGAGGGTCTCGCCAAATGCGTCGATCAAGGACTGGCGCGCACCGTTGGTGTCGCCAACTATTCTCTAGAAGACTTCAAGCAGATGCGCCAGGAACTTGCCAAGTACGACATTCCACTTGCTATCAATCAATGTGAATTCAACATCCTACGCCGCCTACCGGAGCTCGAGGGCGACATGACTGCATATAAGGAGATGGATGTTCAATTCCAATCCTACTCGTCGCTTGCTCAGGGAAGGTTGACGGGAAAGTATAACGCGGAACATCCACCACCGTCCACTTATCGGTTCAGCAACTATGACATGGAAGATATCCAGCCGACTCTTGCTGTGCTGGAGAAAATCGGCGCGAAGAGAGGAAAGAAACCCGCGGCGGTTGCACTTAATTACAACTTGAGCAAAGGAGCGTTGCCGCTCGTCGGAATTCGTAATCCAGCTCAAGGTGAACAAGCTCTTCAGGCGCTCGGGTGGAGGTTGACAGAGGATGAGGTTAAGATGATCGACCGAAACAGTTTTGTCGGGAAGAGGACAAAACTTTGGCAGCAGGGTTGAACCCGGTATGGATACAATTTGATTGCTTTCATATGTGTGAGGGTGTTCTTATCTACCTGAAAAGTATTGAAGCTGAAGGAAATACGTGTACACCTATTATTTCATTAAATCGCATATTCTCATCTCTATCTCACCCATAATAACCTATCCCTTTATCACTTTGATTGACTCGGTACCAAGAGACTGAGTATTTGGTAGCCTGTGAAGCATCATCTCAGCTCATTACATACTCACATGTACTGCTTCATACACTAAGAATACACTTCATATACATGGACTCTCCATCAATAATCCTTGAAATACTGCAATAGGATTGATGTGGGAGAATAGCTAGTACCAAGAGAATATACCTAGCCTAGGGGCTGAAAAGAAATTCCGATCGCTTTTCGACGAGTTATCTAGCTTCGCCACTTAGTGAAGCCACTTATAGACTTATATATTTCACCATGAGGCAACGACCAGTTAGCCGACTGGTGATGACCGAGGCCTGCTGGAGCAGTATAATCCATATCACTTCCGTACAACATGGCGTTCACCATACTGCGTCAGTGCTTACAGGTCACCGAATCTTACCTGCTGTGCACAAGGCACGCTTGCAGGAGGTTCAATAACAATTCTCTGTATCTGAAGATACAGTTCACTCTATCGTCTACCTATAGGCGGTCGGCTAGCTACTCGAGAAACTTGATAATTGCTCAATGGATAGCCTATTCCCCGCCTAATCATCATTCTTTTCTAGTCCTACCGGAATCGTAAAATGCTAGTCATGAAGATTACGCTTACGGCCCTTTGACGAAAGCATACGCTGTGATATTACCGACGTATGCAATACGCAAACCGGCGAATTTCGTCACCAAAAGATCGACTTAGTCTGACTATTCAAGCCGCTTAGAATAGACCGGATATTCTCCTGCTGACTTTGAACGCGGTATGATTGGTCGGGAGTTACTACCAGCTGTACGGCGAAACTAGCAATACTGTGCGGCTGACCTCACTAGCTATATTGTGTTACCACATAGGACTCTGTTGCTAATGAAGCTGTACCATAAGGGTAAGACACCTGTCCAGTATCATGTTGCGATTTCAGCCCTACGAGGCTATGGCCTTTAAGTGCTTACACCGCCGTTCACTTGAAGTTGCTGACGTTGGACGTCGTCACTTAATGAGTAATCTCAACTTGACATCCTAGTCTTATGTTCGGGTCACGCCACCGACCTCTTTTATTCGTTTGAATTGTTTGCTCGCTGTCTAGTTCTTAGTGGTGGTGTTGTCGTACAGCGTATTCCTGGCCGAAAGACGTATCAGTCCTTTGTAGCTACTATTGAGTAGACCAAGACCAGAATTCGGAGTAATCCGCTAGTGTAAATGCGAGAGAAATTCTGTTTGATCATGTGCTCTCCGGTTAGCCAAGGCAGCCAGTTTGTGGCGTAGAGAGAACTTGTTTCCGTCGTATTACATCGACAATGCTTCGTGGCCGATTACCCAGTCATCTGTAGACTATACCTAGGCTAATAAGTTCGAAGAGAGATTCGCACCGAGCGACTTAATGATGTTAGACACGCCATTGGACTAGCTACGCGGTCAAGCTGATACATGTGACGACGAGTCCAATA